GAAGTCTGTGCTGAGAATTAGGTGGAGGTACTCTCACCTATGATGTGCTCCTAAAATCTAGGGAGCCTATGCTGAGGATTAGGTGGATGAACTCTCACATAGGGTGTGCTCCTAAAATCTAGGGAGCCTATGTTGAGGATTAGGTGGATGGGCTCTCACCTAGGGTGTGCTCCTAAAATCTAGGGAGCCTATGCTGAGAATTAGGTGGATGGGCTATCACCTAGGGTGTGCTTCTAAAGTGTAGGAAGCCTCTTCTAAAGTGTAGGAAGCCTAAACCGAGGACTAGGTGGATGAGCTCTCACCTAGGGTGTGCACTTAAAGTTTTAGGAAACCTACACTTTAACTTATGCTTAAGGTGATTTGAGGTTTTCTATATATTCCAATTAATTAAATCAGAAATTCTCATTTTTTGACTTGACCATTAAGCAAGAAAGAGAACTCAAAACAAAATGACGGGAGAGGAAAAGAGATCAACCCGCTTCCAAAACTCAAAGCAAAAAGGGGTGAGGGGCAAAAACACAAAGCAATGTTAGAAATTCCCAAAATAGTATCCAAACTGCTCCGAAATCAGCCCACAAAAGCACCACAAAACTGTGAATAAATTGCCCTAAATCAGTCACCAAAAGCACCCCAAAGCAGTGAATAAAACAATCTCAAAACATCCCAAAACAATGTGCGTTTAAATTGTGATCAAACCTCCCTAAAAATGTTCAAAAAGTTGCAGCGAAACCAGTCTAAACTAGTTCCCAAAACAGTGACAAAACCTTCCTAAAAGTGTACATTTAAAGCTCCAAAAACTGCAACAAAGTTAGCCCAAAACAGTCCCCAAAACATCATTTAATTATCCTCCAAACAACATTAAAATAACAAGTAAATTTCCCCAAAATCGGCATTTAAATGGGGCACAAAGTCCCCTCAAGAATAGTAAATGAATCAACACCCGGGTGACATATAAAGCCTCAAAAACCAGCAATTTATAATATCCAAACGGTGAAAAAGTCGAGGCAAAACAGTAAGAATGACAACTTAGAACGACATCCCGATTTTTTTTAAAAACAACGATAAAATCGAGAAATCGGCCAAGAAGAATCGAATAAAGATTTGCATGCAAACCCCACAATTCCTATGCGTTAACATATCTCCAAACTAGACTTTAATTCTTACATTTATACCACCCAAATCTTTCGTGTCATGTCAAAACAACATCGATACGGCTTCTAGCGCGTGTGCGCAAAGATGTGTATGTAGAGGGATCAAAACTTAAGGTGTTAGAAATGTAAATCCATAATAATTGTGCGGTAGGTATGTAAATGCCCCCAATACTTTAACATATCAATGTGCATAAGACTGGTATCAATAACTAAACTGGAAAATAAAGCCGTAGGTTTCGTATTTGTCAAAATCATTAGGCAAATAGTTGAAAATACCAAAGATTAATAGATTGTAAATAATAAATCAAACGGTTAAGTTGAAATCATTAATCATGATATAATTCAACACTAAATATTTGCCAAAGAGTAGTTCCCCTTTGCACATAATTAATTCATGAATTGGCAAAATTTATCATCCATAATAAATCTAAGCAAGATAATCTAAAAATAATACCAAAATCATCCATAAAACTGCAGTTTAGGTGTTAGGCAAGTGAATACACTGGATTGAGTGGTAAGTATGTAACTCTTGTTATGTCGTGTACGCTGCAAAGAATAAAGAGGAAGGGGAAGAGGTATACCTGGCCGAAGCCCGCTGGAGAAGAAGAGGAGGAAGGAGGAGCTGGTGAGGGTTGTATCAAGCAGCGAGAGCAGCAGTTTTGGCTTCTATGGAGTCGTGAAGGGCTATTGCTGCGTGAACAGGAAGACGGGATCGAGTGGTCAAGGAGGCAGGCCGAACGACTTCCGTCGGATGAGGAAGAGACGAAGCGGCTGTTCGACGGGGAGGGAAGTGAGCTTCCTGTCGAGCGGAATCGAGCCGAGCAGGAGCTTCGCTTTGGAGCGTGAGGCGAGCGAGGGCTTCTGGACGAGAGAGGAAGAAGGAGCGGGAGAGTTTCTTCGTCGCAGGGAGGAGGCAAGGTCGAGCGGGAGGAGCAGAGGGCTTTGGTGTGGGGAAGATGCGAGAGGAAGAAGGAAACGGGTAGGGAGCGAGTGCGGGATCGGGAAGGGAGCGAGTGAGGGAGATCGGGATCCAGCAGAGAGCGAGTGGGGATCGAGAAGGGGGCGTGCGGGAGATGATCGAATCGGGAATCTTTCGTCGCAGGGAGGAGGCGATGCGAGGGACTAAGAGGGGCTGAATGCCAGGAAGGAGAGGCGAGCGCGAGCAGAAGAAGAGTTTTCCGATCCGGCCTCCTGTGTCGAGAAGAAGCTATATCAAAAATTTAGAGCGAGCCGTTACCTGAAGGATTGGCGGGGAATTGAATACCTTCCTTTCTGGCAGTCATCTTAGATGGAAAAGCTTAATGGGAGATTAAATGATAAATTTAAAATTTAAAAATTTGAAATTCAAAATCATATAAGCTGAGTCAATTAGCCCGTGTTCAGCCCATATCCAGCCCAAGACAAACTCGAAAGTAGGGGACGATCCGACGAGTGCGGCTCAGCGGCTTCGGTGCGGGAAGAGGAGACGAGGCAGGTGAAGGTCTCGGTGCAGAGGGAGAGCTCGGAATCTCGTTCTGAGGAAGAAGGAGGCCGAATGCTTTCAGTGGGATCTTGTATCCGGGGAATTGCAGAGGAACGTTACAGGATATTGGAGCGCGGAATTAATGAATTTCCAAACGGGGGAGGAGTTTTATTTAGCATATAAGAGCTCCTAATTAAATTTCATTAAAACTGATTTAAATATTTCATTTGAAATTTGAAATTCAAAATTCAAATTACTTAACTCTTGTTCAGGCTCGAGTCCAGCTTGAATCGAATCCGTCGAACCTCGGTTGAGCCCGGGCCCACATACCGCTAATAAAAAAAGTGCATCGATTTCCGTGTCATTTGTGCGCGCGTGTAACCCTAGTAATATGGGTGTCTTTCCTAGCTAAAGTTGACGTTCCGGACGCGTCGGTGCAGTCTGTTTTGTCATCCGGGGTTGTTCAGACGAGTTCATGCCGGCTAGCGAGTCAATTTAAGCCAAAATTGTGTGGAGTGCGATACGTGCGAGGAATTTCGGCGTTCGCGAGTAATCGAGTCACAAAAGGCTCACCTAAGGTTGTTTGATATCTCAATTTCAGACCCTCTACATGTTGGTCCTTAGCCCTTGTAACTACTCATGCGAGTTCTTCACAAAAATGAGTCAAGAAGTGGTTTGAAGTTCTACGGGAGGTGGGCTCCATTGCTAGTCCGCTAGGATGGTCAACAAGGAACTCCTAAGGCTAGATTTTCGGTTCTGGGAGTAGGAGACTAAGACCTCACTAAAAATGAGGTCAACACTGGTCCAGGCTTGAAGGCGTTCCACCTGCTGTCATACGCCCTTGTCACCTAACCAACTATATCCAAATATTTTTCTTTTTTATGATTTTGACACTTTCTTATCTTTTTTCATAAACCATTGTTTCTATTGCAGGGAATATAATTTTATAACAGATCAGGACTCTTGTTTATTAAATTTTATGAAAAATCCCTTCTAACTCAATTCTTCTGGTATTCTGCAGGGAATATAATTTTTGTTAAAGTACATCACACTTGCGGCTCTATTTTACTAATTTGGTCTCTTTGATAAATCTAGCTGAACAAAAATAATTCATCTATTTGTAACTTATTTAAGCTCAGTTAGGGTTATGAGTTTAGCACACTACTTTTTCTGGATTAGTGGATAAATAATTGCAATTTTTGTTTTCTTACCAAGGAACAAATAGGAAAGAAGTATTTTTTTTTAATTCTGCCACATTTACCAGATTTCAAGCTCAACACCATTACTCTCGTAATGGCTGGCATTCTTGGCTTAGTTGGTGCTTAAATATGTGACTGCCATTTTCATTTTGAGCCAAAATTGCTCCCTTAGTTTTCATGGTATATTGATCCTATGTATTTGATTTCTTTGTCTTTTTGTAGGTAGTTGCTTGCAGTTACATGTGTGTTATCTTTCTTTTTGGACTAATGATGAAATTTTATCGCTTAGAAAAGGAAAAAGCTCATCTATGATTTGAAGTTGGACACTTATTGGATGCTTTTAGCTATTTTATATATGCTTTTTATTTTGTTTTTCTTTTTCTGATATAACTTCTTACTCTAGAATTTGTTAACTTTGCATTTAACTTAAGATGCTGTTGTGGAAAATGCTGCAAGAGAAGTTATCATCTTTCTTGTTTCAACCCACTGTTACATGATGTTCCCCCCGGTGCTTGGCTGTGTTATTTTTGTGTAAAGAAGAAGATGGATTTAGGTGCGTACAGTGTATCAGATGGGATAGAATCTGTATGGGATGTTGACGAAGGTGAGGATTCATTCAACCTATTCAGCTTTTCCAGATTTGTTGAGCATCACTTTGCTGGGCCTTAAATTCTAAGATTGTCATTGGGCCGTATGGTGCTAGGAATGCAGAATGGAAAGCAGTATTTTGTCAAGTACAAAGGCCTTGCCCATGTTCATAATCGTTGGGTCCCGGAAAGCGAGCTGCTACATGACGCCCCTTCACTTTTAGCCATTTTTGGAAAGAATGGTCTGAAAGAGGTTAGTTCTTTCTCTCTCCATCCATCCTGCATTCTTACTCATGACCTTGCATTGAAACTGTAGTGATCTATTATATAGGCTTGTGAAGTAAGGAGACTTAAATTTATCATATATAATATATTAAAGGGCTGTTTGTGAAGTAAGGAGACTTAAATTTATCATATATAATATATTAAAGGGCTGTTTGGTTTGCAGAATACTATGATTACAATTTATTTGAAATTCTTTCGAGTTGTTTTGCTCAATGTAAAATAAACATAGGACTTTTATATTTTTTTGTTTAGTGTGAAGTAGATTGAAAAAAATATATTTCAAAATGTATTTTTTTCGCGCCAGCTGTGGGGGAGGGGGCAACAGGCGGTTGGTAGTGGCGGGCTAGTAGGTGGCTCGGTGGACAACCAACAACGGTGGGGGAGACGTGTGGCTAGCGGTTGCGGACGATGGGAGCGACGTGCGGCTAGCATCGGCGACGACAGGAAATTGCTGCGTATCCGGGTGGTGGGCAGCTTCGTCGGTCGTGGCAAACCACCTCGGTTGGTGGGGGCAGACGGTAAGAGATGGCGGCATTTTACATGAACAATGTATTTTGAAATTTGGCTAAATTAATCGAATTCTAAATTCAACTAAAATGAACTACGGTGTGAACTTCAAATTCCTTCATACTTTACATTTTATTTATAATTTTTGATGCCAAACTTATAATTTTCTCAAATTCCTGCAAAATAATTGCAGTACACCATAAATTCACTCAACCGAAAAGCCCCTAATTAGTTTGCATATTCATTAACCAGGGAAATAAATGGAGAAAAGAATGGACTGAGCCTGAGCGTTTGTTACAGAAAAGGTTGGTAGCGCCCCTTGAAGTTGCTGATGAGTTAACTTCTGTGTCGATTTCTGAGCCTTTGAGTTGTTGTGTTGAGTGGCTTGTGAAATGGAAAGGGCTTGAGTATGACCAAGCTACCTGGGAGCTAGAAAATTCACTACTGTCATATTCATCAGACTCTCCAATGCTCATAAAAGATTATGAATGTCGTCGTGAGCAAGTCAGCAGGTCATATGATCCTTTGAGAGCTGACAAGGTAATCGTATCGACTTGGAATGCCCAAGCTTTTATAAGTTCTCTCCTTGAGAAGTCTTTCCAAGTACTTGTTTTATATGTACGTGCTTATTGCACAATTTCTCTTTTGCATTTGTAGTTTTTTTGTTTTCTGAGACAGTATCTTTAAGCAATTTTATATGTATTTACTTTTTATATATTTACTTTTATTTTGTTTTCTGTTGTTTTTTCTTTGTATTTACCATTTTTTTATGCCTTTTTTTTTTCCTTCTATTCATTTTCAATTCCGAGCAATTTTAGTGTTCAAGCATACAATTTAGTTTAATTTCCCAGTAATGTTGTGATCTAAACCTCCTTTGCCGCAGAGCTTGAAAGGCTGCCATAAGGGCTATTCATGACTGAGAAAATTTCTTCAGTCACACGCTTAATTTGTGAAGTCAATAGCTATGTGATTGGATGTCTTTTATGTGGACACGAAACCTTGCGAAGCTTCAAGTGCTCTTACACAGAATGGAATTGAGTGTTGAGCTGAATAACATTGATTTATTATGTCTTTGTTTGTGTCATTATATGATGTTTTATTTTTCACACATTTCTCTCTCTCTCTCTCTCTCTCTCTCTATATATATATATATATATATATATATATATATTTGTGTGTGTGTGTGTGCATTGGCAGTTTTAGATCATTGTAATATGCCATCGAAGAAGATATATTGACTATCACTGAATTATGTCATGCTTGCTTGAAGCACCCTGTAATCCTAACACAAAGTTCATGGTAATGTCTTGTCAAAGAGTGTTGTGGTAAAAGGTGTAGAGCTGGCGTTTTGCTTACTAAATTCTTCTATTTTATAATTGCCTGACAATGCTGAACACATTATTTGTAATGGTAGCTTGTTACAGTTTATAAATACTAAAAAGTTAGTTTTGTCACTATGAGAAACGTGCTATTGTTCTAAATGATTGCATAATCTTTTTGGAACTTTGCATTCTCTCTTTCAAGCATAAAACGATCACCATGTTGCATTTTAAGTTGGCTGCTCTCTCTATCCAATAGGTTTTACATCTCACTTTTTGATCTTCTTATAGTTAAGTTTGACTTAGAAATTGACCCTTTAGGCGAACATTTATTCTACGTTTGTAAAATCTTCTTGAACAATTCTTTCCATCAAGTTGTGTCGATTGAATCATAAGATCTTAATAAGGTTTATTATCATACCCGTTACCTCTTCTAAATTAATGGTTGTAATTTTTTTTTCCTAGATCAAATTGCCGCTTTCATTAGCTAAAAATTTAGAGCTTATAGATTAGCTTTAGCTGAGAATTTTTTTTTTTTGTTTGTTTCGAGAAGGGCAATTAATCATAGGAGTTTGCTCTGACAGAAAATCTCAAGTAAGATCACTAAGTCTTTACAAAATGATGGCGGAGTCTCAGACAATGTTTTATTTTATATCCTTTTTTTTTTGAAAAGTTAACTTGAAACCACTCATAGCAAGGAGCTGGGCTGAAATTTTCAGAGCCCCACAGGGCCTTAAGGTTAGTTCTGCAATTTTGAGAATACATTTCAAGAGTGCTAGTTAAACAAGGATCTTTAGGGATGCGTGTGGCCCTCCAGGAGTGCTCTAGCTACCATTAGTACTAGAAACATCAAATTCTACCTTTTGTTCCATTCAACGCAAATATAAGACAAAGCATGATTCAAATATAGGCTAATAACAAATAATGAACTAATTAATATATTAATTATTAGGAAAATTTTAATGAATCTCTCAGTAATCTAATCTAAGGGAAGTCATGGTGGATTGAATACAAAATATGTGTTTTGATACCACTCTTTTGTACCACTGATTGGGACAATGGGACATGATGGAGGGTTTTAATGTTAACTCATGAGATAACTTTAGGAGTTGGGGTAAAAAAAAATACAGTTTTGTATTCTCAAGAAAATGATTGTTCTTTAAAAACAAGCAATCATATAAGATATATGAGACAAGTTTATTTGAATTCATGAAAATTCTTGTTGTCCAGGGTCAATAGAAACTAAAACCCCGATCGTGGGGAGGTGTTTATAATAATGACGATGTTGAGGGTTTGTGGAGAATCAAACTGGAATTTAGGAAGAGGAAAGGACAAACTAGTAAGACCAAGCACATGGGATGATAGCTTGACAAGGGGGATTGGGAGCAACTTATGATGTTGATATTTGTGATACTAGGTAGTTGAAAGTATGGGTGATTGATGCGGAGCGTTGGCTCCATGGTTACTGGAATTGCACGTTTTTGTGGTATCATGGGAAGCCTCGATCGCGACAAAGGAACAAAGAACAATTTTATCATATAATTTTTTTTATTTTTCCTTCTTTCCTTTTTTTGATTTCTTTCTTATTTATTTATTTCTAATTAGGGTATTTTCTATGAGAAGAATATTTATATGTTTGCTTTTCTGTTTTTAGGAAACTTCAATTTATTTTGAGTATATTATGGAGATTGTAATATCTGAATACTTGCTAAGAGTGCTGTATTATTTTTTCTTTTGCAAGTATTGTGTGTGTATCTTGCTCAGGAACAGATGGTGAACCTCCTCGTTGCCCATATCACGCCGTTTTTTCGTGTGCCTCGCTGTTTTCATTCCGGACAGTCGCAAAACAGCACAAATCTACTGCAGAACAACAATTATTGTTGCTTAGCCCACCTCCAAATGTCGCCGACCTCGCATACTATCTTTCCTTTGTTATTATATAACCACCTCCCTACAAAATCCCCTCTAAACACCTTTTAGGCGCCCTATAACGGCATCATTTGGTATCAAATCACGAGAAACCCTAATTTTTGTAGGGATTTGTTTTTCATTGCTCTTAAACCAAGTTTTCACACAACCTAACCTAAAAACTCCAAAAATAATTTATTTCTATATCACCCACCTTGCCCTAACCCTAATACTAACCCTAACTCTAAATCACAATTTTTTAGCCAAAATTAGAAAAAGTGACGCCATGCCGCCAAGTAGAAACCCTCATTGAGGTGTTCAAGAACTTATTATGGAGGATATGCAATGAATAATATTCCAACTGCAACATGGCTCGCCTCCTTTTAGGGGAGACAACCAGGTGAGGTCACCCATAGCCATAACGGTAACTCGTCAGATCAACGGGATGACGTGAATCCCTTCCATCAGGAAGTTTCTAGTGATGAAGAACCTATACTCCTACGATTTCACATAAAAGATCAAAGAAATCAATATCTTGGAGTAAAAGTAAATTTATCGTATTTTGATTGTAGCATGGATCCAAATGAATTCATTGAGCGACTCGAAATAGTGGAACAAATGATTGAGTATAAAGACATTTCCCTTGACAAAGAGTTAAATTGATAGCCCTCCAAGCTTAAGAAAAATTCTTCCTTATAGGTGGGAGAACTTGAAGCATCTTCGCTAACATGAGGGGAAAAGCAAAATCAGTATACGAGCTTCAGTTTTCATGCCTGGACCGAACTGGTCTAGGTTTTGTTGTAGTTGTGGAGTCGGACGGTTCTTTTGGGCCTCTCCTCGCTATCCAATTATTATGTATTTATGTTTCTAATGTTTTAAGGTTTGTTTTCCATGTGTTTTGTATCGGGATAGCTGCCGGTTTCTCTTCTTCCCTTAAAGGGCTGTATCATAAGGTTTCAGTTGGTACTTCGGCTGTATCTTGATCTCTAGGCGGTGTTTATCCTTCCCCTAACTTTCTGCAACCTTCCCACATCGATCCACTTCGCCCCTTTCCCACTGTCGTCTTTTGAACAACTTTTGCTGTTGTTTTCTGCAGTTCCACCATTTCCAGTCACCTCCTTCTCTTTCTAGGCTTGTTGCCACCCACCACAGCTGTCCTCCACCATTCCTCAACTTTCTCACATCACTTTCCGCTTGCTTCCTTTGCTGCAGCCACCCGAAACTGTTGGAAATCCTTTTTTTTTTCCTTCGATATTGAACCTTTCCAGCCACCTTCTCCTCTTCCAGACTTGCCACCGCCCCCGGAAAGTCAGCCCACTAGTGCCTTCCCTCATTCCAGCCTCTCATGCCAGCTGATTCTTGCTGGTTTCTGTCGGCTACAACAATTCTCTGGTTGCTGCCGCCCAGGACAACAGGCCGACTGATACCAGAGTTAACCCAAATCACAATAGGAAGCATAAATGTTATTATTAAAAACAAATAGACAATGACAATCAAACATACTTGAAAGAGAAATTACAACAAAACAAGACAAGCTCACACTAGGGCTCGATCTGGTGGTGGTGGGGGTCGGTTAGGTCGACGGGGAGTGGTGTTAGAAGGTTGAAATGGACTTTGGGTTGTTGGGACAACAAAGGGAGCGGTTGGACAGTGGGTAAACAATAGGGGAAGTGTTGTTTTGGGTTGTGGCAGTGATGTAGGATGGCTAGACAATGGTAAAATAACAAGACTATGGATTTTTGGGCGAGTGGCAGCAAAGGGGGAGGGCTGGAATTGTGATGACAGTGAAGGGGGAGGTGAAGGCGTTTTCGGCGGTGGGAACTGTGGAAAACAAAAACCAAACTATATTTCTACTACTCGCTATGTGATCCATCTCACATTATATTATGAAGAGCTAAAAGCTTCGACAGATGAGATTGAATCTCCCCCAACACCGGGAGACAGATGTGAGCCGTCACTCAAAGGATGCGGGATTGTGTTCCGCACAGTGACGTGGTAAATACCAGGTTTGGGACAGCTTGGTCCAAACACATGAAATGTCGATAAGTCCTTCCAAGCAGAGACTCCCCACCTATTTGGATTGAGGTCCACTCCTATTTATCCCTGGTCTACATATGTTGTTGTGGTGTTCTTAGGTTAGTTTTGGCGTATTTTTTCTTTTGGGATAGCTTTCAACATCCTTTTTCTCCCTTCCAAAACTGTATCCATTAGTGGGTGCTGCTCTGGCTGTAGCTCGTCTAAGGGGGTGATCTTCTTCCAAGGGATTGAATGGTGCTCCGACTGTAGCTCATTCCAATGGGGAACTTTTCCATA